ATCAAGAGCAAGGTTGCACCGTCATGAATTCTCTTTAGCCAATGAAAACAGCGAGCAGGAAGTTTAAAAAAAAAAACACCAACCAACCCAAACCAAAAATAAACGCCCTGAAGCTTGAAAGAAGTTTAAAGAAACGCCGGTGGGCGAAAACTTTTCTCCCCCTTCGAGGGCGGCTCCTCCCCGGGGGCGGAGGCGAGAAGGGCGGACTCCGGCGCAACCCCGCAAGCTCAACCTCGGTCCGGTCGGGACGAGCCAGGGGCGGGCTGGGGTGTGGAGGCAGAACTTCGGGCTGTCCCAAAGGAGCTCCATGCTTTGGCTATGGAGAAAGGGGCGCCCTTGGGACTGCCCGGCCTGTGCGTGCTGTGGACGGCGGTGCTGGGGGAAGTCTGCCGCTGCGGCGCCCACGCCAACTGGATGTGAGTAATGTGTGGATGGGGCGCTCGTCTGGAGCCGGGCGATGGGAAGGAGGAAGCGGAGTTTTTGAATCTCCCGGGTCTGTAATATATAGAGTCATGAAGGGGGTTTCTGCCCGCGGGCTAAGCAAGCCATCCCCGTTATTCTTCTTGCAAAATGGGGCTTTTTCCTCTCTGCCTCTCCTGTCTATAATTTGGACTGAAAACGTCCTGGAGGAGCCCGATCGATCCCAATAATAACAAAGTGCCCTTCCCCGAATAAGGCTGAGGAGGACAAAGTTTCTCATGATGTTAAAGACAGGTCACTTTTTATTTTCCATCCAAGAGGTTTTGAATCCCTTCAAACGAGGAGAGAAACCCCTGGCTGGTTGAAATCTTTCAGCTGATTATTATTTTTTTTAAAAAATAGAGCCTCTTTAGCACTATTTATACCATAGTCTAGGTCAATGTGTATTAATTTGGGAAGTTAAGGAAAAAATATGCCATGCAGATTATTTTTTTTAAATAGAACTTCTTTAGCACTATTTATACCGTAGTCTAGGTCAATGTGTATTAATTTGGGAAGTTAAGAAAAAAAATATGCCATGCAGATTATTTTTTAAAAAAATAGAGCCTCTTTAGCACTATTTATACCATAGTCTAGGTCAATGTGTATTAATTTGGGATGTTAAGAAAAAAATATGCCATGCAGATTTTTTTTTAATCAAGACTGTGTATTAATTTGGGATGTTAAGAAAAA